CACCTGATGTGCTTGTGTAGGGGGCATTAGAAAGAACCTCCAATATTTTGCTGGTCCAGAGGACCTGGCACCCCATGGGTGAGTGTGTCAACCTGTCCCAGCTACTCATCTGCCTTGAGCCCTCCTGTCATTAAAAATGTTTGCCTCCCACCAATCCCATGCTCTCCACAGATCTCTCCTGCAAAGAGCTCATTCCTGTCAGGAATCTCTGTTCTGAGACTCCTCACAGGCTGCCAGCTCTTTGAGAAGCTACTTAGGGCCCTTGAAAAGGCAAATGTCTCCATTCTCTGATCTTTCAGGAACACTCCACCAGTTCTGTCCTGAGCAGACAAGTTAGCTGGAGGCTCATCCTGAAGCAAGAGCAAAATGAGGGTTATGTGTAAGGGTCACAATGACCCTTTGGATTCCAGTTCTTCATGGGGAGCATCAGCCCAGAGCATTTGGGAGTGTGCTCTTTGTGCTGAACGTGCAAACCTGCACTCCTCTAAACTGAGCTGCACTCCTGGCCCAGCCTTCCTGCTGATTTCCGCTCCTTCAATCTTGGGGTCATCTGCTGACTTTATCAGCATGAGTTTCTTTCCACACTGCTGATAAAAGGCCAAAACAACGGCTGAAAGGGTGAAGGTGGAGGATGGAGCCCTCAGCTTTTGATGAGAACCACTCTTGCTTGCACATGACTTCCTGCAGCAGGAGCCCCCTATGCCTTTTCCACTTGTCTATGCTACCATCCAGGCTAGAATCTCTCCACTCATCCAGCAGTGGATAGACTCCCTGGACAACCCTCTGTTTGCCATGCTGATGGAAGAAGTCACCGCTCTTTGCTCTCAGCCTGGGAACCTCTTCATGAATTTGTGCCAGTCTGGAGTGAGAATGCAGGTGAAAGTAGGACATCTGCTGTGATCCTGAGTTAAAAGGTCCTCTGTCTTTCTTTTATCTATGCCTTTTTGCAGATGACTTGGGTGGGGTCCATCCTCCACACAGAATGTGGTTGATGTCGTAACTTCCCTTTTTCAACTTTGATAGGTAGAAATCTCACTTATATTGCACAAGGAGCTCTCCCCTCTACCTGCTCTGTCCTGGGCCTTGGACAAGCATCTGGAGAGCACTGCCAACTGTGGAACCTCCCTCTGGCAGCAAGAGCCTCATACCAGCCATGACAGGTGAGTCATAAGGCAAATTCCCAGCCACAATTGGGAACATTGCATTGCAAGACTCTCTCCAGTTGAGTTTTGCAGATGTAGGGAATAGGTCAATGATAGACATTAATATTACAGTCACATTTGGATTCCTTGGTTCCAATCTCAGTGCAGCACTTTGTGCCTTCTGCAATGACAAGAGGCAGCACCTTTTTGCCTCCTTCCTTGCCTGTGACCCAGACAATGGGAAGATTCTGGCCCATCTCTAGAACGTGCTTGAAGGTGGGGGATGCAGTGTCAGGGCACATGCTTAGCTTTGACCAGCTGGTTCCCTTTGAACTGGATGGAGCTAAGCCCCAGCTTCAGTCACATGGGTGCCTGGAGTTGCTGCACAGACTGCAGGACGTGGATGGACCTGTTCTGAGAGAGTTGCAGTAGCTGGGCCCACAGAGAAGCCCAGAGGGGTGACGGCATGGAGCTTACTCCTGAAGAAGGATGTATCTGAGCATGGGTGGTGCACGGGGCAGTTGATGAAGAGGCAGTTGCTCTCTGGCAGGTTCAGGGATGAATTTAGTACCACAACAGGCAAAGCACTTAGTATCTCAACTGTCTGCTTTAATAGCTCTTACTAGCACTTGGTTCAGTTCAGCCCCACGGGCCTTACCCATCAAGGTGGGAGGTGTTGCTTCATTTGACCCAGACTGCTCTGACCCAAAGAGGGGTCTGACATATTATTTAATTCATGTCCCACCATCACAACCACAGCAAAGCTGACAATAGCCAAACCCTTACCAAGAAATGGTGATAGCTGTTAGAAACAGTATACTCTCACTCACAACAGGAAACTTTATTAAACAACAGGAAGCCTATGTTCACGGCGGACTTACAAAACACCTCACTCTCCTCTCCCCTTGCTCTTTCAGTGCTGCAAGGCTGACAGACAGGACTCTAACTCTCCTCTCCACACTAAGCAGGGCTGTTGGGTTTAGAGCCAGTCCTGTGTGGCAGAGTCTTATGGCTACTTTAGCCCTTAAACAGAGGATCTGCTCTGCCCCAAACCCTACCTGATCCCTTCCTCCATCGTGTATCCCTTGGCTGCTGACTCAGCCTCAGAAGATGGATGGTCCAGTGCTAAGCTGGCTGTTGAATCACTCCCTTCTCCTTCCCCTGGACTCTGCTCAATATCCTGAGCTCAGACTTGACCTGCTCGACAGGAAAGGCTCCTGCCTGCAGCTGGCTGCCATGAGGAATGTGAACATCATCCTGCAGCACTACAACTTCACAGGCAAGCTAACCAACCGGCAGTCTGAGGACGAGGGCATGGGTCTCATCCGCACAGTCTTCGTCATGGTCAGCGGCATCATCGTCCTGGAGAACCTGCTCGTGCTGCTGGCCATCCTGCGGTGTCTGAGAGCCCGCCGCTGGGTCTACTCCTGCATTGCCAGCATCACTGTGAGTGACCTGCTTGCAGGAATTGCCTACCTCTCTAATCTCTGCCTCTCAGGCAAGAAGACCTTCCAGCTTTCACCTCAGCTCTGGTTCCTGCGGGAAGGCATCCTGTTCATCGCACTGGCTGCCTCCACCTTCAGCCTGCTCGTGACAGCCATCGAGCGTTATAGTGCCATGGTGAGGCCGATTGCTGAGAATGAAGCCAGCAAGACCCTGCGCTTACGCAGCCTCATCATTTCCTGCTGGCTGCTGGCCTTCGTCATAGGACTGCTCCCACTGCTGGGCTGGAACTGCCTGTGTGACTTCAGTGCCTGCTCTGTGCTCCTGCCTCTATACTCCAAGAACTACATCCTTTTCTCTGTAGTCATGTTCAGCATCATCCTCCTGGGGATTATTGGCCTCTACATCTCCATTTTCCAACTGGTCCAGGCCAGTTCTAAGCAAACCAGTTCTCGGCACAGCCGCAAGCGTTCCCTGCGCTTGCTTAAGACTGTGCTGATGATCCTGGGTGCCTTCATCATCTGCTGGAGTCCCCTCTTTGTTCTGTTGCTGTTTGATGTCTTCTGTGAGACCCAGACCTGCACACACCTCCACAGCCTGGACTGGACCTTGGCTCTGGCCTTGCTTAACTCAGGCGTCAACCCCATCATCTATTCCCTGAGGAGTGTGGAGGTGCGCCGTGCTGTGGGAAGCCTGCTGTGCTGCTGCTGTGTCAGGGCTGGGCTTTGCAAGACTGGGAACTGCATGGTCATCACAGATATCAACTCTGGCTCATCCACAGAGAGCTCACTGCGCTACCGGGAAAGTTTCCGCAGCTCTGTGGCACTGAATGCTAGGCCCAGAGCACCTCTCTCCAGCAACTCCAGCATGATGAGCAATCTCCCCAGCCTCTGAGAGGCCATGGGAAGAGCAAGAGGTGCCAGACAGCTCCCAGGACCTCATTCTGCTGGTCCTGGCCTGGCAGAACTGTAGCCTACGTGCAACTCAGGCTGATCAGGGGCAGCCCCACCCCAATTGTTAACTGGGCTTTCCAGTCCCATCAGACTGGGATTTTGTTTCAGTGTGGGTGCAGTGCAAGGATAGGCATTGCTCCCAGGCTGGGAGAGAAAGATGCGCGTACATTTTAGGATTGATGCTCTGCTGAGAAACTGCAGTGCCTAGGTTATAAGTGTGTGTGCTCTGTGTGTGCAGACAGACACTGTACCTGCCCAAATGAGGGTATTTTGCCCCAGGGCACAGTGACAAGTAGGCTGGGCATCCCCAACCAGATGGCCCCCCTTACCCCTTGAGGTCGAGCTGGGTTGGCAGTGCTGCCGCTTCACATCATGCAGGGCTGGAGGTGATACTTTCAGTCTTCTCCTGAAGTTTACAGCCTTCTGGATTTGCTGTGACGGGCACAGCTGCTAGGAAGGAATGCAGGCTTGATGTCAAGAACAACCGGATTTGCAAGTGCAACTGTGTGCTGTTGTGGGGCAGTTCCGAGCCCCCTGGCCGGGAATCAAGTACCCACCTGCAGTGCAGCACAAACCAGCCAGAGGACAGCAGAGGGCTGCAGCAACAGCCTAGGCCCTCCCTGGAGTGCTGAAGTTGGGCACTATGCCCGGGCAAATGCTGTGACAGTGCTTACAGTTTGGCAGCAAGAAGTGAGAGCCCTACCCTGCCTCTGGGTATGAGGCTGCACCTGCAGTGACAGCCTGGGCACTACCACAGTGACTGGGGAGCCTGGGGCCACCCTAGGTCTGACAGAGACACACTAGGGCCTGAAGACACTGCCAGCTTGCTCCTCAGATCCCTGCTCCTCTATTCCCTAATGTAGGGAATAATCAGAGCAGCACTCAAACACATCCTCTCACTCTGCAAAAAGGACAAAGCCACGGAAGCACTGTGGGCTCACACAAAACCTGCTGGCCCAGCCCCTCCACGGGAACTGTTATCAACCCATTTGTTTTGCATTAAATCGAGGCGACCACAAAGTCTTGGGTTAATTTTGCTGTAATTTTTTTACTTCCTGAAGGTCAGGTACTCGGTCTCCACCGCGTAATCCAGAAGCCAGGCAGCACCCGGCAGACGTTCCCTGTAGGCCCGGGACAGCCGGAGCCCGCCCTCCCGTTCCCAGGACAAGGGGATCACCCCGCTCACGGGGACAGCGGGAGTCCCCCGTCCCGCCCCGTCCCGTTCCGTTCCGCCCCCCCCCCCCCCCCCCCCCCCCCCCCCCCCTTGTCCCACCCCGTTCCACCCCACCCCGTTCCATCCCACCCCACCCTGTCCCACCCCGTCCCGTCCAGCGCTCGGGGCCGCTCCGGGCCGGGCCGTGGCGCCCCCTGCAGGCCCGGCAGGGCTGGCCGCGACTACATCTCCCAGCAGCCTTTGCCGCGGGACGCGAACTACAGGTCCCGGCAGGCCGCGGGGCGGGCCGTGCGTACCGCGCGTGCCGAGCAGGCCGCGGTGCCGGGACCGCGGCGATGCTGGAGGAGGCGGGCGAGGTGCTGGAGTCGGTGCTCAAGGCCTCGTGCCTCCCGCTCAGCGTCCTGCTCTTCGTGCCCGCCGTGCTCCTGCTTCTGGGCCCGCCGCCCGCCGCCGAGGCCGCGCACGAGTTTACGGTCTACCGCATGCAGCAGTACGAGCTGGGCGGGCAGCCCTACGGTGAGAGAACCGCGCGGCCCGGTCGGGCTCGGCTCTTCCGGGAGGTCGGACCCCGGGCAGCGGCCTCTTCAGGGGTGGTGGGTCCTGGGAGGAACCTCGACCCCCGGGGAGGAGCCTCGGGTAGGCCGCGAAGCAGCGGGCGGCCCGTGGAGGGCAGCCCGGCCCAGAAGAGGCCGCAGGAGGGCTCGCGGGGGCTCTGGGAGGCGGTCAGCCGGGCCCGGGGCCAGGCCCAGGAGCGGGGCAGGGCGCAGGAGGGCCCCGTCTGGCTGAGTTCCACTGCCCAGGCTCAGCACTGCCAGGACGGTGCTGAGAGCTCCACCGTGGTGACCTAGAGGTAGCCAAGGACCCCACGGGCTTGTCTATGGCTGAGCTCTCTGTGTGTTGAGGAGTCCAGCTGCATCCCTCCTGCATTCTGGGACACTTGGTCGTGAGCTCAGTTTTGTTCTCTTGCCTTTGACTCCTCTATTGACAGGTTGATTCCTATCTCTTCTTCATTCTCAGCAGTATGTATTGCTCCAGTGGCTTCATTTCAGGGCCTATCCTGTTACAATTCTTCTGTTGTGTTACAGTTGACTTGCTCTGTTCTGTTACCTCCAGGCTGCTGATTGTGCAACACCTTTCCAAGCCAGAAACACACCCTGTTGTATGAATCCTTGAAGTGCTGTAACCCTCAGCCTCCACCCCCGTGCACTCATGGACCCAGAATCAAGGGTTGTTTCTGAGTCTTCTGTAGATATTTTATTCCAGGCCAGGACATGTGCTCTGTTCATGAGTGACTCTTCCGAAGTTTCAGACTTATGTTAATAATCTGGCATTACAGCCTCAGGTTTCCTCTGCCACTTGGATGGATTGTGTGTTTCCTTTGCTCCTTCCTACCCCATTTGGGGAGCTGATGGTCCTGTACCTTGTGTGTTCTGAGATGTCCTTCAGGATAAAAACTGTTTGTTGTTCCAGCCAAAAAGACAAAATACACATTGCTGCTCAGTCTCTTCTTGCAGGGGGAAGAGTTTTTTTGTCAGCATCAGTCATAGAGCAACTTAAGAACAAACTTGGACTTCCTCTAATGCTGATAGAGTTCTTTAGTTTGTAAATGAATTATTATTAACCAGCTCTCTGTAGAGAAACTACAGAAAATCAACCCGTCTTGCTGTGCTGTCAGAAAATACTGTTGTGTCTGCTCTGTTTAGGTGTAAGAGGAGCAGAATTTTGGGTCCACATATTGCTATGTTTACACATCATTCTTTGGGAAACTGGCGAGGGATTATCCTCCTTTTGAATCATTTTTTTTTCTGATTGGAGCAGGGGTGTTCTTAATACTTGTTTGTTATACAGTGTCAGAGTTCTGTGAGGAGAATTTACATCATGCCTTGACTCTGTTTACGGATGTATGGCGATTCTATGACCTTTGATGAGACCAAACTAAAGTCAAGATGAGTCAGGTTTAAATCTAACACTTAGCAGCACTCTTCTTTGAACAGAGGCTCAGATGCCTTCTGGAGCACCTTGTTCCATCCCTGACTCTGTGGGGGTGTAGAGGGATGAGGTCCTCTGTAGGTGCCAGAGTTATAGAAGAAGAAACTGAATTTGGAGCATTATAAATTGTAAGTGGATTTGAACCTCTCTGTACAAGATGTCCTTTTGGTCCTCCCTTGGAGAATGCAGGAGCTGCTGGCAAGCCTACAGACTGCTGTTCTCCCAAAGAATTGCATTTCCATGTAGGGGATTTGATATGCTGAAGCTGAGAGTAGGAGAGAGCGAGCAGCTAGGAGCAGCCTGCTCATCTGTCACTTCCCCAGCTACAGACCTGTCCTTGTGGGTGGGCAAGAGCAGCCTTTTGGGTGACACAGGGTAGCCTGGTGTCTCTGCACAGCCTCCACCTCTGCAGGGGTGATCCTACAGCTGGGGGATGCAGAAGGCTCTAGAGAGACCAGGCTCTCTCCAGAGGTGTTGCTGCCAGCAGGCGTCAGGTGCAGGTGAGCAAACAGCCTGTGTGGTTGTGTTGAGCAGGTAGACTGGAAGGTGGGCAAGGCTGTATAATGCTGGAATAAGGGGAGTCTGGCAGGACATGGCCGCAGAGGTTTTGCTCTGATGGATGCAAGGAAAACCACAGATCTCTGCTCCTTCTTGGATGAGGAGGAAGAGGCGGACTTAGCTTTCTGCAGGTCCTGGCTGCTCTGAAGTTCGTCAAACTGTCACAAAGACTGTTCTGAGAAGGAGCTAGGCTCGAGCAAAGGGAATATGTTGAAAGCATAAGTTGAAGCAACTGACAAGGCCTGTTGCTGTTCTCTGCTGCCAGGCACCAGGAGCGCAGTGCTCAACACAGAAGCGCGCACAGTAGAGGCGGATGTCCTGAGCCGCCGCTGCGTCATGATGCGGCTGGTGGATTTCTCCTACGAGCAGTACCAGAAGGCTCTCCGCCAGTCAGCTGGGGCTGTGGTCATCATCTTGCCACGATCTATCTCTTCTGTTCCACAGGATGTTGTAAGGGTAAAAAAAAATAAAGTTTTCTTTCTCTTCCGATGGGAGATTTATTTGAGAGAAGCTTGGGTTGCTGCAGGACTGGAAGCTCCTGTTGTAATGCACAACAAGTCATATTCTAATATTAAAACTTACCTCTCTGCTTTGGTTGTTAATATTTTCCTGCCCTCTTTCATGTTTAGCAGATGCTAAGTTTGTGTCTCACTTAAATCCTCAGCAATTCATGGAGATAGAGCCAGAAATGCTTGCTATGGAAACCATTGTGCCAGTCTACTTTGCAGTGGAAGATGAAGAGCTGCTGTCTATCTATGAACAAACACGGGCTGCTTCTGCATCACAGGGTTCTGCCTCAGCTGCAGAAGGTGAGTTCTAACAAGCGGGGGAAAGGTTTGAGGAAAACAGGCCTGGGAGCAGTCTGCTGTGTCCTATACACCATGAACCACTGTTCTGTCACATTCATGTTTATTCTGACTTTGTCAAAGTGTTTTGAGAGTCAGTGGAAGAAAAACTCAGTATGAGAAGAGTATTACTTGACTGTATTTGGAAATACAGTTGCATGAAGTTCTCAGCTTCACACTGTTGCAAATAAGATATAAATCAAAACTAGGTTAACAACATTGAAGATGTTAAGTGACGGTGGTGTGTTGGTAGAAGCTGAAGCTTTTTGTCTAACCACAACTCCGTTTGGTGCTTCCATATATCCCCTTGTAAATAACTTGACTGTCTTATTGATTAATTTTAGAACTGCTGGAGAAAAGTTTTTGTTTTAGGACAGAATGAAGATGTATGGTCACCAAGAAACTGTGTCATTGCATAAACACAAGTGACAAGTGAGAGGGCTTAAATGGTTTAAAGCTGGTCTTTTCAAAGTGCAGTTAGCAAGGAAAATAAAGGGATGAAACTTCCCCGGGTGTACATTGTGGTTTTGGGGTTTTTTTGTTCTAGTTCTGCTGCACACGGCAACTGCCAATGGCTTCCAGATGGTGACCAGTGGGGCCCAAAGCAAAGCTATCAATGACTGGCTTATACCCAGTGTGGAGGTGAGTAGTATATGGATTCAAACTGGCAATGTTGATGGAATGAATTATTTTATTGGGACTTCATCAGACATCTGGACTGATAGGGCAAGTCAAGGGAGTCTCAGCCATGTAAGTATCTGGAGTCCTCAAAACTAAGGCCAGGGCAGACTCAGCAGGCATGTAGAAATAAAACTGTCTTTGTACAGGGACACAAGAGGTGACGTGGAGTGACACTGCTCTCTTTCCTCTGCAGGGAAGGCTAACAGGGCTGGGTGGAGAAGACCTGCCCACAGTTGTGATAGTTGCCCACTATGATTCTTTTGGAGTGGCTCCAGTGAGTATTCTTTTTTCCTGCAGCTCTCTGTTCCTGTCTCTTTTCCCCCATATGGCCTTTGCCCATGTGTCTTTTCTTGGCCTTAAGGATGTGGGGCAGTTACAAGTGAAGCGTGGTGGTGTGGTATCTTGAAGCTGTTCTGGTATGTGAGAATCAGTGTAGGTTTGTCACCTTGTCTTTGTCCCGCTTCATCCTGCAGTGGCTGTCACATGGTGCTGACTCCAATGGCAGTGGTACCTCAGTGCTTCTGGAACTGGCCAGGCTGTTTTCCCGGCTCTACACCTACAGACGTACCCATGCTGGGTAAGAAACTGCCCTGTCTATACTTAAATGTGTGTAACTGAGAACAGATAAGATGGGCTTTTGCTCCAGACCTGCAGGGCGTTACAAACAGTCCTTCAATTTGCTCTGTTTTGTTTCCATCTGAGTACAGCTGCTGTTAATGGCCAAGCTCCTTCCTCTGTTCTCTTTGCTGTAGCTCCGCTCAAGCTTAGGGACAAGTGGAGGGAATGATATGGGAAGTAGATTCCATCCTCAAGCAATGGGAACTCCCCCTTTTAATCTGTCTTGCCATTACCTGAGTATGTGGCGTGTAGGAAGTGTTTGTTAATGGACAGTTTGCCTTGGATGTCAGGTGCTAGTAGTTGTGATTTTACCACACCTCCAAGACTGAGTAAAGGAGTTCTTGGGAGTGCAGCATGCTAACACTTTTCTGGCTTCTTTGATGGGCAGGTATAACTTGCTGTTCTTTGCATCTGGAGGTGGCAAGTTTAATTATCAAGGAACTAAGCGGTGGCTGGAAGACAATTTGGACCACACTGGTGAGTAAGGGGCTGAGATTCCAGCATGTTCTGTGGCAAAGTCTGTGTCAATAGAGTTGTGTTAAATGTCTGTTATTAATTGTCAGTCCTCCTGTGAGAATCTCCTTGTGTGAGCCTTGCTTTTTTGGGATGGAAGTCCCAGCACAAGACATAGCAATAAAGGTTCGTATTTTTCTGTTTCAGATTCCAGCCTGCTGCAGGACAACGTAGCATTTGTTCTCTGCCTTGATACTCTGGGCAGAGGCAATAGCCTTCATCTCCATGTCTCAAAGCCTCCCAAGGAGGGGACCTTGCAGCATGCATTTCTGAGAGAACTGGAGATGGTAATGAAAAACATTTTAGGTACATGGGAACTTGGGACTTAGTGTGGGGAGCTGCAGCTCTCCAAGAGAGGAAGGACGATGTAAAGAAATGGTGTGCCATTGCAATATTTCATGTATTAGTTATGGTCACTTGATTTGAAGTGCAGACAAATTCTCATGCTGCAGTTCTAAATGAAGCAGAGTAGATCTGCTGCATTTTCCACTGCACTTCCTTATGGCTTCCTTGTGTTACCCTGTAGTGACATTAAAACAGCTCTTTTTGATATGAAACCAGCTTTATAATGGCAATAACTGCACCTTACAGGTGGAGGTGTGTTTACCTTCTGGAATGCAGAAAAAGTGGGTCTAGGCAGACAGGGCAGTGCATGATGGGATAATGCAGTGGGTAGCATGACAGCCGTGTATGGCTTGTCCTTTCCCTCAGGTTGTTGCCAGCCAGTTCCCAGAGGTGAAGTTTTCCATGGTGCACAAGAAGATTAACTTGGCTGAGGACATGCTGGCATGGGAGCACGAGCGGTTTGCGATCCGACGCTTGCCAGCATTCACCATCTCCCACCTGGAGAGCCACCGTGACAGCCTCCGCAACAGCATCATGGACAGGAGGTGAGAGGCCTTAGGGAAGGAAGGCTGCAGTTTAAATCCAGCCCGTAGACCCAAATTGGCTTCACAGCTGCTTGTGTTGTTCTGATGGTCAGGAGACAGGTGACAAAAACACCGTGAGTTGGGCTCTGGATTCAGGCTCGTGCACGATGCAGTGAAAAAGGGTTGTTTCTAGAGGAAGCTGATGCCATTGGCAAGTCCATAATCCCCTCTTTTTTCTTTAGGGCACGGATAGACACTAAAGCGCTGATCAGGAATACTAGGATCATTGCTGAAGCTTTGACAAGGGTCATCTACAATTTAACAGACAAGGTAAGAGCTGCCCACTGTGCAGTGCTGACCAGACTTGTCCTGCCCAACCAAGCTTGCTCTCACCAATAGCCTGGATTGCTTGTTTGTTTCTTTTTTTTTTTTTTGCCATTGCAGGGAGCACCTGCAGATATGCAGATCTTCACAGATCAGATGGTGAGCACAGTGTGGTTTTGTAACCTGTGGGAAGAAGGAATCTAGAGTCTGGGAGAGAGGTCTGGTCTCAGCATGTGTGTACTTGATGCCCTTTATTTGGTGGTATTTTTCTGTAGCAGATCCAGCAGGAGCAACTGGAGTCAGTGATGGACTGGCTGAGCAGTCAACCCAGGGCTGCCCAGCTGATTGATAAAGACAGCACCTTCCTCAACACCTTAGAATATTATATGGGACGCTACCTGAAGGATGTCAAGCAGCATCATGTAAAGGCAGACAAACGGTAAGAAAGGAGATGAAAGAACCAGCCAGGGCATGCAATCTGGCTTCCCCCTCTAAAGAACTGTCTCTGAGCTGCAGCTTTTCTGGTTTCTTGGCATGCAGCTGGAAGGGATTGCTCTTTTCTGCTCTTCTGACAGTTTTGGTTCATGCTCTCTGTTCTCCTAGAGAAAGCTGTTTACCATTCCTCACAGCACAGTAACAAAACCCAGCAGCTCCCTCTGTCTGAAGAGCTTGTTTTTTCACTGTTTTGGTTCCACCTTTCCCACTCTGAGTGCAGGAAAAGACTGAGGTCTCCTAGACAGCTTTCATTAATTGCGAAAGGGCAGCTTACATCCCATCTTACCTGCTTAGGTTGAAGCATTTTAGTGAACACAGGGAGGAATCTTTCACATGGCTCTTTGGAGACAGCTGAATAGCATGTGTTCTGAATTGTGTCCTTAGGCTTCTGATTTGGGGAAAAGAAAGACCTGATGACTAAAATCAGCTCAAAATTAGTATGCGAGGTGGTCATGCTTCCCTGTCTCTGGTTGGGTGGACTCCTTGGGGACAGGTCTGGGCCGTCCTCACTACAGTGTCAAGAAGTGTAATAGAATCTGAAAAATTTCTTCTTTGCACAGGGATCCTGAGTTTGTTTTCTATGACCAGCTGAAACAGGTGATGAATGCATACAGGTATGGAATTCCCTTGAGCACGTTGGGCTATTGTCTCACTCCGTGGCAGCAACTGCTGTAGCAATTTCACGTGTACTTTCTTTATGACAGGGTCAAGCCAGCGATCTTTGACCTGCTTCTAGCTGTCTGTATTGCAGCCTACTTGGGCGTTGCCTATGTTGCAGTGCAGGTAAGAGAAGAGAAGCAGGAAACAGACATATTATTTTCCTTATAAATCATGGTAGCACAGTAACTGGTGTTCACACAGTCCCAGCACTAAAGCTGGAACAATAATGTCATCCCACTCTAAAAGCAGTTATCCAGAACAGCTGGCTGTTTTGGTGTATGTCTTTGAGTATTTCAGTTGGCTGTGCTGAAGGCAGTCTCTTGCCATTCTAGTGCAAAACTGGTTTTTTAGAGCTGTTTCTTGTAGTCAAGGACATGCATAACTCACTTGCTAAGCTATTTTGCCTTCAAACTGAGACTACTCAAGGCAACTAAAATTTGCTGTAATGTTAAAAGTTTGTTGCTTGTAGTGAGGTAGTGTTAGGAAATATCTGAACTTGGGATGCAACTTAGAAATGCATCTTCAGAGTTTTGGTTTCTTTTTTCAATGAAACCATAAATACATCCTGTGCCAGTAATCCTGGAAATGTGATACTCCATGCCTTGGCCAGTCTGTTTATATGTAATGTTTTTGTGTAAGTGTTAACCAAGCCACTGTGAGTGAGGCTTCTGATCCTGCCTGGGCTCATGAAGAACATGAATGAAAGGGAAGCATTTTAGGTCACTCTCAATTTTGATCTCTTTGTGTTATTTGTGTTTGTTATTTGTTTGGGGAAACTATGAGCATTTAAAAATACAATGTAACAACATAAAAAGGAAGGAAAACATATACTTTGATTTGTCAGCTATCTTCCTTACTTTTGTATTTGAATTTGAAATTGTTTGAAGCCTAGATCTTGGTCAAATATTTGAAGTAGCTGTTACTGAATCAAAACACAAGTAACCAAAGCAAAATCAAAAGAGGAATTAAGTTAATTTCTAAGTCACTGGTGAAATGGTGCAGGAGAAGATCTGGTTAAAGGATTGTGAATTACTGGGAATCTCTGTGTTTGCCTGGTTTGTTTTTATGTTTGTGACACTGCTGGCAGCAGTGTTTCTACAGCGACCAGGATCCTGCAGGTGTTGGAATCTGAAGCTTTCTCCCCTTCAGAAGGAACAGAATAGCATAAAAAAAAAAATCTTTAACAAGTTGTTGCATCTTCACAAAAGGGTGATACACACCTACACAAACACTTTTGTAAGCCATCACTTTCTGTACAACTTGAAGTACCTGGCTTCATTGTCATAATTCCTCTTAATTCATCAAATCTCACTCCATCTTCAGGGTGAGAGTGCTAGTGGATGATTCAAACTAGGTACTGCATTTGCACGTTGGTATTGTTTTAAGCCTTCTACTAAGTTTTCTGTCTGTTTAGAACAGCCATGGTTACTTCTTTTCGTTCTTTTTCCAGCACTTTGGTCTCCTTTACAAGATGATACAGAGATTATCCCTTAAAACCAAGCAGCAGTGAAGCAACAAGTCATCACCCACCCAGCAGCACTGAGCCATCGGTGAGCCCATCGGAAACCTTCTGCCTTCCATTGAACCCTGCTATTTCTCTTCCTCTTTGCTACTGTACAGAGGGGAGGAAGGCATAAAGAAAATGAAATTTTAACTCTTGTGCACCTTTTAAGTGCTTTTCTTCACCTTCTTCCCCTGACTTGCACCGTGTCTGTTTTCCTTTGCATTTTGGTGAGAGAGAGGCTCAGAGACTCCACCAATTCCTGCAGTCTTATTCTGGGCAGCTTCTATGAGTGTAAAACAAAGTCCAACACCTTCATGGACATGTGTCATACAGCCAACTTGGAAACTGAAACTACAGAGTGATGTGTTATCTCTGCCCACCAGACAAGGACTCGGAGCAGTTGTTTAAAATTAAAGTGAATGCAATTAGCATGTTTCCTTATGGTACCTCTTCCTTAAATTCACTGCCTGGCTTTAGTGAGGTGTGCTGAGCAAGCAAGCAAGCACCTTTTTGCATTTTGTTTAGACTGCAGTAACTCATGCCCTTTTAGGAGGTGCACTGTGAGTGATCCTGACTGTTGTTGCCAGGATGAGCAAAGATTGCTGAGATGAGTTTCTGGTATTAGGGTTCTTGCCAGGACAGGTTCTCTCCTGTCCATGTTGGAGGATGCATTTTGCTGTGCACTTGGTTACTCTGGAAGTTTATGGTCTTTGGACAGTTCATAGCTGCCACCACTCTGTGCTAAACTCTTGCTTGATCTTTGAGGGGTGTTCTGTTGTCCCAACTGCTGCAGGATTGTGTTCTGTGCTGTTCCATGTACTTAAACAAGCTGGTTGCATCAATAACAAGAGCAAGAGCAGCCCAGACCTGGAAAATATATCAAGATACTGACTACAAGTCCTAGACTAGTTGTAGTTCTAGAAGATAACCTGATGAAGTATTGTTCCTGCCACCCTGCAAGGTTTGAGTCCTTCCTCTGATCTGTCCTATGTACATGACGTCTTTTCACAAGCCACAGTGGATACCTTTTTTTTTATTCTTTACACTACTACTTATAATTAAAATAGTGTATTTTACAGGGGCTGAAAAGCTATTGTGGGTTTGAATGAAGGTGTACCTCTTTTTTTTTTTTTGTATGCGTGGAAAAGTCAAGCTGTGCATTCTTGTCTGCACACAGCTGCTGTGCACGTGCTTGTTAAAAAAGGGGTTGTTGTGACCAGTCACTGGCCTTGTCCTTTGGATGGGCACCAAAGCACTGATTTCCATGCATCTTTGTTTCACCATAGTCTCCTTCTTGGAGTACCCTTACCCCATGATGTGCTTTCTGCTACTTTAAATGTGTAGCAACTTGTTTTTTAAAGGGTCTTGTCTTTTCCAGGACAGATGCTGGTGTCAGCAGCTCACCATCATATATATCACCAGGTGGCATGGTGCCAAGCACTCCTGAAATATCAGCCCTACAAGGGAAACCTGCCTTTTCCTGATCTTTGAGTGCTTATTTGAAATATGTCTCTCTGCATGAATGAAGTGTTCATGACACTCCTTTGCCAAATGAATTTATAATGACTTCAGAAGTTGCTGAAGTGCCTGAAAGACAAGCCTTGATTGTTTTCCACTGGCTTTTGTGTTGTGCCCATAGACATTACAATATGTGCCATGGGAAGGTGCATTCTCTGTGCTGGGTAGGTTTAGAACATGCATGGTACGGTGGTTGTCTGAAGAACTCTGTAGGCTCTGAACGTCTGGAAGTAGTTTCAAAGTCCTCCAGCTGCATCATACATTTCTAGTGTGTTAAACTAGGTGGTGTTCCCTCCAATCCAGCAGATTACTTAACCAGTCCTAATTATTCACTCTGTTACTTTGCTGAGAAAAATAGAAAAAATGATTAGCAATCCTGCTGCAGCTTGAGTTGATGATTATAAAATTTGCCAGCAGTGGGCAAGAGTGAACAGAACAGGCCTGGAACATTATTCAGTGCAGCCCTCAGTCTTCCAGATGAGAAGCTCAAAGTTCAGAGTCAAAAACTTCCACCAAGGCAACCCAAGTGTAGTTGCAGTTGTGTCCCTGTCAATGCTGTAGCACTAAAGAAAACACTTTAGCTGCATGTGGTCTCAACAATGAACTGTTAACACTCCTGATGCAGTGCCAACAACTTAAAAGAAAGATGGATAAGATTTATGAGTTGATAAACCTGAAGGGCAGTTGGGACAGTATATCACTCTCTCCCACACAAGGTTAATTTGTCCCATAATTCTTTTGGATGCATTTTGTGTTTCTCTAGCTGGCTGCCTTAGCAAGTAGTTTTTACTACAGATGAGAGTTTTTGATCAAACTGCATGTGTGCTGAAACATATATGCTCAAATCTGAGATAAACAGATTCGAACTTTCTCATGGCTGGAACACCGTGCCCATCCTGGGATTGAATTTAGTTCCCACATTGCTATTTCCACATTGTTGTTTTCTTTGGTAAGTTAACAGAGAAGCTTGCAAATAGACTCTGGTGCTGATCCACACTGCAGCATATCTGATCAATTCTGACACCAACACAGCACACAAAGGCAGAAATTCAACAGGTGTCATGATAAAATAAAAGTTCTCCACAACAATGCAGAAGAGCTCTGTGTAGCTGATTCTTGTTGCCCTTATTTTTACCTGTCCTTCTCTTGTGAGGAGTTTGCCTGGCCTATAGGTAAGAACATGGAAAGCATATGTGCACATATACACAAGTGGCTAGCAGCTGATGCTTCTAGCCAGAAAACCATTTTCTTTGCTATTTGTCTGACTTTACCTTTAGCTGTCAAAGTCTGCAGCTCACAAAAAAATGGTTTTCCAGCAGGGTTTAACTGAAGTTGTTAATGCCTTCTGTGTACTCCCACCTCCATGAGCACTAGTGGGGATTTTATGCAAGTAGTTTGGACTATCGTAGTTTATCTCCCACATAAGAGAGGTTCGTTTATTGTTAGGAGATAACTAACGCTGTGCAATATGAACTCCATTCTTGTACTCAGTGCAGAGAAGATCCTGAAGCCAAAATGGAATTAGGTATCTCGCCATCTGCAGCTGAGTTACCACAATCTATTCAGATGTGCAAAACCACAGCTACCCAAAATTGTTGTGGGGCTTGGTTTTGAGAGTTTTTGTTTGTTTTAAATCTTGCACTCTCGTATTGTTCATAGCACAAGCTCAAATCCCAAGCTTCTCCTGCTCCCTGTGGCCAAGCTGGGTTTTACATTTCAGAACCATTCAGTCTTGACTCACTGATCTGAAATGATGGGGCTGCTACTATATGTCTCAGTAAATTAGGCCTCTGGGTGCTTGAGTGTGGGCTCCTGCTTGCCTCACTTTGATCTGTTTAGTTTCCATTTGTAGTTATCGCATAGCAACTTCAAGGTTATAATCTGGAATATTTGCAGCTCAGGAAAAAGACTTGATTTATTTAGCAATGTTAACTCAATTATTTATCTCTTGTGTGCCCTAAAGAACAAATGTATATTGAGGTGAATATTTAAAAGCTAATAGAAAATTCACTGCAGTTGATTTACATATTTTTTGGACCATAAATGTAATAATATTTAAGTATTTTAACTTTTTTCATTTTCTTATTTGTTTGTCTCTTTTTCCCCTGGAAAAATAAAGTGAGTGAGTAGGTTTGATGGACAGATTTGTCAGAGAACTATTTGCTGATGGAAGCTCAAAAAAATGGAGTCTCCTTGCATTATTTGGAGGAATAGATCCCTCTACAAAAAGGAAGAAAATCCATGTGTTTAAAGGCTTCCTCCCTTCTATATAGTCAAAAGTAAAATAGTAAAACACGACTCCACCACCTTGAGGTGAGTGAATTCCTGTAAAGTTTCTATGCAAAACAGCTTTGATACTGTGAAAAACTGGTTACCTTAGAAGCCAACACTGTGCTCGTAGAGATTGTTGTGCCTCTGTCATTACCAAATGACCATCTGAACACTAAACTGTTTATTCAAGTTATAAGCATTGCAAGAGATCTGTTCCCTGAGCATGAGTTTGTCCAAGTCTTACATGGACAGTGGTCATAGTTGTGGAGTGGGAAAGTGACATAAACACTACAGAAAGGGAGAGTCAAACATTGTACGTTCATTCTGCCTCCTCCAGTGGCCCCTCTAAAGGGGTTCTCCGTGTTAAGACCCTTCTTTCAAGAAGAAATGCTTTGGCATTTCTTGCCTGCAAGTTCACAGGCCCTGGACTCTTTTCACCTGCCCTGTGTATTGTGCCCAGCATAAATTCAGTTAATGTGGGATTTCTTGAGGAATCCTTTGATCCTTGCTATAGATTTTTGTGTGAGGGTAGATTAATTTGTTTCAGCTTGGTTTGCTTCATGGAATTAATTAGGTTGGAAAAGACCTCTGAGATCATTGAGAATAATCTATAATATTGGATGACTAAGCATGGTTTTCCTTTCAGATTAATTTCTTTCAGAGAAGTTGCAAGTACAAATTACTCTCTTGGAGGGAGCTGTGTACCCTGTAATGAAAATGGGAAGCAAAGCCCTCAAGCTTTTCTGTGCCATTGGGACCAGAGAAGGAAAGGAGCATTGTGAATTCCTTCCAGGAGGGAAAAAGCATGCCCACAATGTAAGACAGAAGATCTGTCAGTTAAAACAGAGATCATGAAGAAATGTTTTTTCATTTAAATACCACATCTACTGTTTTTCTGAAGAGTTCTTGACCCCTGATCTTTATCTAGATAATTTAATAAAGCATGGGCCTCAGTTCTTTAATGTAATTCTTAACAAACCCAAAAGGAACAAGCTGACAATATCTGACTGGAAACCCATGCAGCAATTTCACTACAGTGTCTGTTTTGTAAGAGAAAGGGAGAGGATATAAAGACCTTACCTCTGCTGAATCTAAAAAGAAACTAGTTCTTTTTATTGTTTAAGCCACACTAGTGATTCCTTGTTATCAGCAGGTTTTTTTTAAACAGAGCTAGAGTTGGCATTATTTCCTTTGGGCCATTCAAAGGATGGTGTCTTAACTGCTGTGTGGAGTAAGGTTCTCCTAGAATTTTTTCCCGGCTCATATGAGTGGGAATTTGTACTAGAGAATAGCCCATAAGAAACTGTGGGACTCATGAAAGGCAATTTGAGCTTGTATTCTCAGATCATGCTTCTGTGATAGCATCAGGTACTTCTTGCTAAGGATGCTGCAGTGCTGGTACAACTGCCATGCTTAGAAGATTGCTTCTGTTTCTGGACTGTGCCTCTGTCTCAGATTCCAGCTTTCCCATCTGCAGCTAGTCTGAAGAAGCCAGTCAGGTGTGCTACTTGATGCTTACCCCTCTGAAACCTCTCCTGCTCCTGTTTCTAGGGATTACACTATCCACAGAACAGTGGAAGGAGCTGGAGATCATTCCCGAGATTGATGCTGCTGTCAAGAAATTATAAGAGGAAGAATCTTGGTCACCTTCAATCTATTTACTTTTCCTTAGGTGCACTGGCATATAAAGACAAGGATTCTCATCTGGGGCCTCTTTCTCATGTTGATGGGGCTTCCTCACTGAGGTGGTGGTCATGCTGAGAAGACTAGAGACTTCTCTTTTCAAGAAGTAGCTTGTAATGAGCACCTGAAACTAGAGCCAGTGCTGTGAAGTGAGACTTCAGCACCTCTGGTCTCATGCAGACTTGAGGTCTGTGCTGGTGAGGGACATGACCACAACCTGGCTTTCCAGGGGTAGATGGCTTCTGTCTCTTGTGGAGTACTTTAGCTCATCTACATCTGTTACTGACTTATATTTTGTTGACTATTGAGTAAGATGGTTTGTATACCTCATGTTGGCATCCTTTGTGTTTCTTCTATGTGCTATACTGTTTTTTTGAGTGAAGGCATTCTACTTCAGCAACTGGTTTGTCTGTAGAGGTTGAATATGCACAACACAGGTGTTTGCATTATAAAGAGAAGAATCATAGTGTTTCACAGGCTGCCACCTCAACTCTTTGTTTCAGGCACCCTTCTCTGTAGGTTGCTTTGGATTTCCCTTTTAGGTGAGTGCTCTGTAGTGTTTTTTCTCATGATATGTTCCCAAATACTCCTGCTATATAGAAGCAGTCAGGCAGCGGGCTGGTCCAGGTCACAGGAAGGGCACAGTACAATGTGAATCATTCAAAGGAAGTGGTAATTAGGAGGCCTGTTAAATAGAGGGGAAGTTAAAGAATATCCACAGAGAAAAATGACAAACTATGAAGAGAGTGGAGAGAGGATATTTTATGCTTGAGCTCTAAATGGATCCCACTCTGTGATCAGCTGCAGCAAGCACAGCCTTCCTCAGCAAGACTTTTCCAGACTTTACAACAGCTTGCCTCTTCCATCTATTTTTGGGGTTTCTCTTGTCCTGGTTTCCATAGTTTCTGAATGCTTCATGCTCTTAAATATATCTGACACTTACAGCACCTTGGTGAAGCAGAAGATACAAAGGCCCTTGCTCTTTAGAGCTGCCGGAGCTGTAACAGCTCAGGGATATGTGGAAGATGTGGGGTGGAGTACTGAATTGAAAATGCTCTTTTCTAGAGGCTGAATTTGTCACTGCTGGGTTAGCCTTTCACTAGGGATAGCAGGAGAAAAAAAAATCTTTCTTCATAAAACTTCTCAAAAATATTTAGAAGGGCTCAGTGCTGTAGCTGCTTGCAGCAGGGGTGGAGATGAGTTGACTTGATGATTGAGGCATTCTCCTCTAATCTGGTGTTCAGCTATTCTCTATTCTGCTGTCACTTTTCTTTCTTTCACGTGCTTTACTTTCAAGCATTGGAAGAAACAGGGGCCTGGAGTCAGCCTTCTGCCTTCCTGGGTAAAACCATGCCTAACAGATCTGGGTAGGGTTTGAGGCAGTGCTCTGGGAGGTGAGCTGGCATGTAGGACACTGCGAGGAGAGAGTAGGAGGAAGGATGGGACTTTGGGAGCAGGCAAGAGCCTTCTGAATTGGGCTGCTACGTGAGCTGTTGTTGCCCTGGCTCTGTGTGTTGGATAGTAGGGTCACCTCTACACTCCACTGCTGCCTTCACTCTGCAGGATCCGGGGCAATAGTGAGGGATGACAGAAATCCCTTACTAGAGAGACTAAGCAAGGGGAAGGGAGGCCAGGCTGTGCCTGCACCACAGTTCTTTTTAAAGCCTCAGGCCTGGCATGCTCAGTGGAGCTGAGCACTGGGCTCTGCCACAGCTCTCTCTGCAAACAATCCAGCAAGCACCCCCTTCCTACTCCCACCACGAGGGCATAGAAGCGTTTTCATCTTCAGGGATACCAGGGCAGGATGACAGGCTAAAATGTATGTTGTGACGACAGAAGCTGTGCATGCTGCAGAGGAAACGCTCTGGGGAAGATGCAGGCAGTGTATGGCTGTGGGCGGCAGAGCAGTGTTTGGCTGCATCCCTGCAGCACAGCTGCTCCAGAAGGAGCACATGCCTCGGATGTGCTATGCCTCAGCATCACCCTGGCATGACAGCAGGTGAGACAGCCTGGGCCTCCTGGGCTATGCTGCTTGGAGCACTGACTCCCTCCCCTGCAGCCTCACCGCGGCTGGAGAAGCCAGTGGGAGAGCAGCAATCCACATCCTCACATGGGGATGAGATCTGATCCTGGCAGCAATAAGGGCTGCTTCCACATGGATATGCAACCAGCTTCTGACCATCTGGCACGATCTGACATAGGAAGTAGCTGGGAATGCCCCCACCAAACCTGAGTGAGGAGGGAGCTGAGCTGCTCGGAAGAAAGGGGACTTTGCCTAGAAGGGCAGGGGCAGAGAGACCTGCCTGGGGTTGTAGACCTGGGGCCATGTATTTCTTCCCATTCCAGCTAAGCCCCCTCCAGCACTGGTGCTTGTGTCTGTGCTTACCACCGGGTGACAGCTGTGTTAGAAAGTTTTGTGCTTTAAATAACCTCTTTGCCTCCAGACCCTCGTACTGAGACACTGAGAAAATGGAGGCAAACGCTAATTTCTGACACGGATGCAGAGGGGCTCTGCCTTCGTGGGTGCTCAGAGCTCTCCCCTGCTCCCAGGGCCTCCGCATTCCTAGAATCTGGGCCCTAAAATACAGCTGGGGATGGGCGTCGTGTCTCCCCGCTCGGCCCTCAGCTGGCGGCCACAGCTGCTTTGCCTCCTCGCCCGTGGCTGCCAGCACCTTCACGGCTCTCCTGGCCAACCCTCCCCTGAGGGACCTCCCGCCCCTTTCTCGGGGGTCTCCCGGTGCCTCTCAAGGCGCCCCCCCCCACGCCTGGGGTGCCCCGGGCCTCGCCTGGGCTCCGCGCCGCCGGCAGGGGGCGCTGCGCGCGGCTCTTTGTGGGGCCGCGGCGGCGGCGGCGCGGGCGGCGGGGCCGTTCCCGTTCCTGTTCCTGCTCCCGCTCCCGCTCCCGCTCCTGCCGCGCTGCCTCCCCCGCCCGCAGCCGCGCCGGGCGCGGGGCATGGCCAGACTCACCGAGGGCGAGGCGAGGAGACAGCCGCCGCCGCTCCCGCCAGCGCCGCAGCCGCCGCGCCGAGCCTCCCCCATGAACAGCAGCGGCGGCGCGGAGCCCCCCGCGCAGCCCGACAGCATGAAAGACCTGGATGCCATCAAGCTCTTCGTGGGGCAGATCCCACGCAACCTGGAGGAGAAGGACCTCAAGCCGCTCTTCGAGCAGTTCGGCAAGATCTACGAGCTCACCGTGCTCAAGGACCGCTACACCGGCATGCACAAGGGTGAGCCCGGCGCGGCGCGCTGAAAGGGCGGCGGGCCCGGGGCCGGTCCACGCTTGACCCCCTGTGATGTGATTTTTCTCTCTCCCCACCCTCTCTCACATCCGTCGCGGCCCCCTATCCCCTGCCCGGGAGCGGGTCCACATCCTCGGCGCCCACGGGCGGGGCTCGGCAGAGCCCCGTGGAGTCCCCCGGCCTCGGCCGCCCCCTGGGGCCTGGCGCCGGGTTGTGAGGGGCTCAACAAAGGCCGCGATGTGCAGCGTGGGGCGGACCGAAGCTGCCGCGGGTGGCCCGGGACCCTCGGTGGGTTGCCGGGCACACCTCCCCGCCTTCCCCGGGGCTCGGGCCGCCCCCGGCAGGAGTACGGCACTGGGAGTTGAAAATCCACACAACAAAGGATATTGGCCACGGATCTGCTGCTGTCAGTGCCGTTTAGGATAGATAGTGCCTGGTTGGTGGCAGGCTGGGGGGGGATGAAGGGTTTTTCCTTTGCTGAAGGACCTTTAGTGGATGCTGAAAAGTTTGAGCAGGCTCCTTTAGCCGTACTTATTGTGTTTGAAAGCTGTATTTTGAAGAGCTGTTGCGTTCAGGGTGTCCGCTCCCTTCAGTGGAGCAGTTCTACGCCACCCTGGCAGGTGTTTGGGATCTTGTGACCAGCACCACTCCAGCCAGGAATGGAAACTCACAGAGTTTTTTGCTGTAAGATCCGAGGGGGTGATGGCAGCCCCACTCCCTGGCACAAGTAGAGCAACCTGCAAGGAATTTACGGTAAGTACCCTGAAAGCTGTCGGTGTTCAGCCTGGGCTGCTGTGCCCTAAAATGATCCGTGATGGGGCCGTGTGTTGGCGCATGCTGGAGGGTGTGTGTCGTGTTCAGTCCTGATGCCTCAGATTTAGGAGGATGGGTAAGGAAAACTGAGTGCCTTGGCAACTCGAACTGTTCTAGACTGAAGAGAGAGGAAAGAGGACAAGGGAAAAACAAGCTTATTTCAAACAAAAGGCCAAATCTAACTCCAGCACAAAAGGAGAACACTTCATTGAAGCCTGTGGGGGCTGGACTGACTTGAATTTAGATGAAGAAGTGTATCTGGTTGTGACTTGAGCACAAGAATGGCATGTGTCTCTGTATGCAAGGAACTGTATCCAAACCTGCTGCCAGTGAGTTGCAAGGTTTCAAACGCAGTAAGGAGGAGAATGGGCCCAAGGCAAAAGGCAGTTGTGCATTTCATTTCAAGTGATATCTTAAATATAGACTACGTGGTCTGAGATCAACTTCCAGGCAGGAGACAAATTCTAGGGATCTGCTTAGGTATGGAAATTAGAGGGGACATCAGTGGTATTAGTCAGATGTGTGTGATACTGACTTGATGTTAAATGCAAGATTTCTGCAGCAAAATAAATACATCCTTTTGGTTTTGACTTTTTTTTTTGCATGGATGCTGTGGTGTTGCTCTTGGGTTGTTCTGTCCGGAACAGGTGCTCTGTGCTGCCCAGAAAAGGCTATTGAGCTGTGTAGGTTCTCTGGTGGCCATTGTATGGTAGTTTCTACACCTCTTTGTCCTGTTTTGTACGAAGTGAGAGGTTGGGATTCCTTCCCTGGTGGCATGAGTTTGCATGTAGATCCTTGGCCTGTTTTGGGAATAGGCAATATACCTCTCCAAAGAAGTAATTTCTTCACAAGGATGTGGAACAGGAGGGGTTAGCTTGTGGTGAGGGAATTAAACCCACAGTCCAGCCCACCCTGACCCCTACCTTCCAATCCCATCTTACCAGGTTTGACTGCACTGGCTTGGGCTCTGTGCAGGAAGGCCATCCTGGTGAGGAGCTGCTGGCATCAGCAGTCCTGGAGGGTGCCAAGCCTGACCCAGGAGCTGCAGTGGCCTGGAGCACCATCACAGTCCCTGATCAGGGGATGCTGTGGCAAATCCGGACAGTTGCGTGTTCATTCCTGCATTGTAAAGAAACCGTAACCTTTCTGGGGCAGCTGTAACAGCAGACTCAATTTTCTCTCCCCATGTTCCCTGATCTGCAATGAGATCCAGTTGACAGCTCACATGCAGCTTCCATCTGCTTTTTCCCTTTCTCTCCCCAAATGGGAGAAAGCAGTTGTGTGAGAAGCCAGCAATGCTGGTAAAGCCCAGCAGTCCTTTTGTGTTCCCTTACAGCTTGATGTGGAGCTGAGCAGCCACCTCTGCTCCCAGGAAGGAAGAAAAGGTGGAAAAGGCCTACCGGGGCAGGAAGATGTGAGTTGGGCTGCAGAGTCCAAGAGCTGGCTAGGACAATCCTGTATGGATGCTGAGAATGGATGAATTTGGTGGAGACAGAGGAGGATCTTACAGATCTAGAAATATGAGCTCCGCTGTGAAATGGTTTTGTTAGTACCTGACTAGTCATGTCTCAGCAGCCTGTCCACTGGTAGTTGATAGTGTTCCAGCCTACTATTATTCATGAGGCAGTTTTTCTATATATGTTAATCACAGATACATTTGCATGTTAATAGCAGTGTTTGTCTCAAAGCTAATATTTTCATGGGAAGAGCAGGGAGGTCTTTGAACAGGCTTTTGGAATGGGTCAAAGGAGACTGAGTAGGGAGAATCAAGTGGAAGGTTTTTTTGCCTTGTGTTCCAGGATTAGGCAGAAGGCAGTTCTTTTACAAGTGTCAACTTGATGGGTTTCCTAGGAGTGCTCACAGTAAGGAAAGTGGAGATTCAGGAGTGTGAGATACTAAACTGAACTGCAGGGAAATATTTGGCAGAGGCAGGAGCAGCCCTCCCGCAGGTGTGTGGGTGAATGGATGGTGTGTGGACAGATGGGTGGCTTTTCCAGAGGGCAAGGACACAACAGCACCCTCAGCCTTAACTTGCCTTGCTGGCAGCTGAGTTTTGACTCAGCTTCTGCAGGCTTGTAGATTAGCTCCCTGCTGACTCCATGCTTCCCCTGCTGAAGTATTTGATGTGATTTCTGATGCTGAGCAGAATCTAGAGATCCCTCTCTTCTACAAACTGGCAGCCTTTTCTTGCTCAAGGCTTTAGATTGCTTATGTGTGGAGTAATGTTTAGAATCTGAAGGGACTGTAAATTCCAGAGTCAATGTGTGATTTGTAGGGAGGATCAGGCACAGAATATATTTTTTTTCTGCAGTCTCGTGCGAGTGGAACTAGGCTGGGTTGTGCTTTTAGGGAGCTGGAGGCCCTCCTGGAGCCCGTGAAAGTAGGGTGGTATCACTGACGCTGACGGGGCGCAGAGGTTCTTTTAGGGATCTTTGGCAGAATGGTGATGGCAATAAGTCATAGTCAAAAGCTTAGAGCTTAAACTTAAAATTTTTGACTTAAGGCTTCATTTTCTTAACAGAATTTTCTGATCACTATAGCACAGAATTTATTATTAGAATAGCATAAGGTTTCTACAAACACAGAATCACTATACTGCAGTCTATAAGTAGTGTAATACAGAATTTATAATACAACTTAATTTATGATTTCTAATCACCTGGACCTCTTGCAAATCAGCTTTACAGACAGTGCCCTGGGTGCTGTTCTGTGTCCCTGTGCTGACGTGGGTCGCTGGCACTGCCCAGGGCCTTCCAGGCTGACGTTTCTTAACACCCTGAGCACTTTTTAACACCATGTCCCGTGTCTCAGCAGGCATAACTGACTTGGTGTTAGAAGTGGCCAAAGGGTCATAAGCCTGTCGATCTGAGCTTGCTGTTAACTAAAGTGGGAGATGTGAAAGTGAGAAAACCTAGTGAGTGACAGGCTCCTCTGCACCTCTGCGAACATCTCTTCACTGTTGAGCAGATACTTGGGTGACTGTTAAGCTCAAAGTTTTAGGAGTCCAAAGAACCCATGAAAGACACGGTAAGCAGAATCCTGTCACAGCATCCTAGGGGGTAGTTGAAGAACTAGTGTGCAAGAGATAATGTCTCCTCAGGAAGGAAGTTTCTTTTCCCCAAATAATTGTTTACACAATGCGGCTTAGAGTGTAGTGATTCTGCCAAACCCTTTCCTGTATTTGTGACCAGGGCTTTGCAAAGAAAATGGAATTGATTCCTGCCTCCTACCTCCAAAACACCCGACTCTAGAGGACAGTAATCATGTTTCCCAAAAGATGTAGCTGACATTTTTAGCTCCTTCCTTTCCACAGCCAGTACAGCCTCCCAGATTCTTGCCATTGGGGAAGTAAGAATGAGATTGAAATGAATTAGTTGAATGTCCTCATAGCTTAGAGACATGAAGAGCTCAGGGATGGAGGAGTGGACCAGGCTGTCCTGTGCCTATAGGCTTCCTTGCCCCAGTCCAGCCAAGACTAGCCTGTTGTTAGAGGCTACCTGAGTGCTGTTTCATGCATGAGTGAAGGGAAGGAGTACAAGCTGGATGCTGTTGAGTAAATATCCATATCCTTGTAAAGCAGAGCAGCAGCGAGGATTACCCTTGGATTCAAGTTTGAGTGAGGCATCTTCAAGCTCCACAGTGGCAGGATGTTTCTGTCTCCAGAAGCTGCTGCCCCTTGTTATGGATACCTAGGCACCTAAAAGATGAACAGTGTTATGGGCTGCTTTTACTGTAGGGAAGAGAAAGACCAGAGGACTCTAGGGAGGGGATTCATGGCACTTTTTCAGATTGGTGCTGGTGGTTGCTGGACTTTGTAAATCCCTGATCTGGCATGATGACAGTACCTTACAAAATAACTCTATCCCTATGTGAGGAGTGTATCTCCTTTATCCCCACTCAATGGTGTGCCTTTGTCCAATCCTCATTTTTCCCTTGTCCTCCCGTGGACTGAGGCTTTTGAGCCTGACAGTGCATTTTACCTCGGTTTTGACATTCTTGAGCACTGGAATTTGGGACTCAAGGATGGGGTTTGCATGCTTAACTCAACAGATAGCTTCAGGTAGACTTAACTCCTCTCCCATCCTTAGTTTTCTTAGGTTTGATGGTTAATGCTCCTGGGGCAAGGATGGTGTCTTCCTTGCACATGGACACAGTACCAATGCGTTGAAGCTCTTAGTGGAATAAGTTGCTTATTTCCAGCTCCTGACTTCAGCATTTTGTCTGCTAAACCTGACCCCGATTAGTGACTTGCAAAGTAGCAGACTGGAGCAGCAGGTGGTCTTAGGCAAGCATCTGTGTTTGAGACTTTGGTTACCAGGCCTTCGAGTCTGTTAGAAGTCTGCTGCTTTTGAGGCTTGATATCAGAGCAGTCTATGTGGGGAGAGTGAAAGCAGAGGGGTGCTACCCCCACACAACAGAACTGGCTGCCTTTGCCATGAGAAGTGGAGTTTACCTTCATGCTTCCTGACCTCACTGCATTTGTTAAATTATCTGTTGATCCCACGCTTCACTTTGGTGCAGAATTCGTGGTTAAAAACCTGGGCAGTGAGGAGCTTTAATTATCTCTTCGAGATTTCTAGTGCTTGTGTGCTGTTTATCGAGGGGTTTTTTTTCCCTAGCAAGAGATGTGAGGACAAATGTGATTTGCTTAGCTGCAGCAACTTACTGGAGTTGGGATAGAAGAACAGGATAATCGTGTTGCCATGGGTTGGGATTGTCCTGAGCAGCTGGCTTCTGCCAGAGTGTTGTGTACGATGGAGTCCCACCGGGGTGAAGGGGAGAGGTCCAGACAGTCCCTGTCTCACATCCACCTTTGGATCCATGGAGAACTGAAGCAGCTTTAGAGTACCCCAAGTCAGGCACAAGAACGTGGAGGCAGAAAAACAGGCCTCTGTGGGCCATAACAATGTATCTGCAGCCCCAGCACAATAGTGTAGACATACATGTTTAGCAACAGCCAAAGGGACGTGTCCTGCCTTTGCTTAGGATGTGAAATGCCACTGCCAATAGGAGGGGGGTTGAATGAGGGGGTCAGACGCATTCTAGCATTTGAGCCTATTCTCCAGTGCTTTGCCTATCCTCATCTGAAGCAACTCAAGTGATGGAGCTTCAGGCACTTCCCTGGGGAGATCATTCCACAGTCTAATAAATCTCTTTCTGCTAGGAAATGTTTCTTGATAACCAACCAGATTTTTCCTGTGCTTAGTTTCATTTGATTAAGCATCAGAGCACCCAAAGATGATCCCTCTTCTTCCTGGAGGGGCTATAGTTCTTCCCCTCCTCCCTTGGCTCCAGTATTCAGCTAAGATGTTGAGTCATATCTTGACTAAGAATGTCAGGATCTGGCCTTTTCCCTGTGCTTTTCATCTTGCTTCCTAAGTTGGCCCTTGAAGAATGCATTATGCTTTGCTGGTCTCTGGATTTCCTTTGTCATGCATATGTTGATATGTGTTTGTGCACATCTTATCACACACGAGGCCCTTCTGTAGCTTTCCATGATTCATGCATCTGGATCATGAAGTTTTTGTGTGAGGCTAAAATCCCAGACACTTTTCCGCTTTTCTTGCTTTTTTCTTTTTTTTTTTTTAAGTCAATAATCATACTGGTCCTTGCCTCTCCTCTGATCCCTGTGTTTTGGACTGTTTCTACCACAGACCAAATTAGCTTTCCTTTTGCATTCCCATTGTGTCTCATTGTTCAATGCCTGTGTCAAACCTAGTTGATTCACTGGGACCCTTTTCCAGGACTTAATAGAAGGGGAGATGGATGGGGCCTGCAAGTCCTTTTACATTGTTTCTTTGTCTCTTTCCCTAGAGTCTTAGACACAACCAAATTATCTAACATCTGTGTTGATGTGCATCCGCAATTGCCAGTCTAACTTGACACTTGCTGTATCCACTGCAGGTTGTGCATTCCTCACGTACTGTGCCAGAGACTCTGCCATCAAAGCCCAGACAGCACTGCATGAACAGAAGACTTTGCCAGGGGTAAGTCCCAGTGAATTGTGTCTGGATGCCATGGGCAGGCAAATGAGGGATTATCAGGGGAGGGAGCAAAGATGAGAAGTGGCTTAGATTAATTTTCCTACTTGTGAAAGAGAAGTGTATTTCAGGGGTTAGAACAGGGATATGGGAGTGGAAGCACAGCGCTGCTCTTCACAGAGCTGCTGCTTTTTTCCTCTGCCTGGCCAAGGCTGCCACATGTAGCTCTGGCCAGGCCTGTTTCTGTGCCGTTCTTTGCTCTCTGTGGTGTGACATGTCGCCTTCACCTATCTGTCCCTATCACTAGGGAGCTGTGGGCTTTGGAGTGAAGAGCGTGGTCACAGCCTGCACAGTGGGCATGCTGGAATGCTCACACGAGACAAGACAAGATACCAGACCCTTTTTCCAGGTGTGCAGCACCTCCTGGTGCATCTGCTGCTACTCTGCCATTGCCCTGCAGGGAGCCTGGACAGACTTCTAGTGCTGTGTCGGAGTTGGATCAGATGAAAAAAATACACTTGCCACATCCCACTGTTTGGAAGAAAAATGGGTTATATAGGTGAGACCAGGACTGCTGAAGTGGCTGTGGTCTGTTCGTGGGTCCTGCTCCCTCCACAGCTGGTCTTGGGAGCAAAGTGCAGTAGGGATCAATCCCAGGAGTCCAGGCACTGTGCAACAGGTCCCTACTTGCAGGGTAGTCCTCTGCCTCCCTGGGACCTGCTGGTAAGCTGAAAGGAATTCTGAATTGTTGCTGTTCCCATTTTGGTATGATTTAAGAGCTTCGACTGGGCAGTTCCCTTGCTGTGCTGAGGGGGTTGATCACACACATTAAAGGATTCATTTGGAGGTGAGTAGGAGGAGGAGTTGGGTACTTTTAGATAGAAGCTCACACAGGCTCTGAGTGCTCAAGGCAACAAAATAATTAATGTAAACCAGGGGTCTCTGGAGAGGGGTTGGGAATTTTTAGCCATAACATTTTCTCTTTAACCCATACAGGTCCAAAGAGCTTCCCTCGTTTCTCCCAGCTGCCCTCAAGACCTCCCCACGCACACGTCATTTTCTGTATTTGTTTACCTCTGCTCCCTTTTTGCATGGGCCTGTGCTGGCATTTGAGCACTGGAAAATGCATGTAACTTAATTCCCACTTAACAGGATCTTTATCTCGGGACGACCAGGAGAAAGAGTGAAAATAACCAGGTGCTCAAATCTCCTTGAGTTATTTTTGTGTGACAGGAAATGGTCAGCTTTTTGGACTCAAGCAATGTAACCTTGTGTGTGTTGGTCCAGGGCAGAATTGACAGAGTCTGTGAGAACAAGTTAAAGGATGGAGGAACAGTCATGAGGAATCATGGTGCAATGCTGTTAATACAATGGGGAAGTCAGACACATCTCTACCTAGTACCTACAGAGGGTCTCTGAGAGGTTATTCATGTGAGGCTTGGTGGATTCAAGGCAATCTCAGTTTTGCTACAGTTCTACATTGGGAATTTGTTGCATGTTTCTCTACTGTCTGTGCTCTCGGTTATATTGTGCTGCATGGAGCAGTATTTGAAGCAGCACTGTGTCTGTGATGTGGTGATCTAAAGGCTTTTTATGTTAAGGGAGGTGTAAGAAACTGCCTGGGAACAGTACAAAGTCTGCTCAGAGAGTACTTTTGAACATATTTGTCTGGAGACAGTTAATGAGCAATGTGGTGTAATTATGTTTCAGGATTAGGAGGAAGATGAGCTGTGTGGCATTTGGAGCTGTTTATTTTCAGGCTGTCAATACACTACTTCATCACATTTAGTTTCTCTTAAGTCCCTCAATGACCAAGAAGGCATGATTCCTTCTCTCTCTGATCATTTTAGTGGTCATTTAGAGATGGTAACTACCAGAATGAAACAGACCTCCATCCGGATCCACATAGAGTTGGTCTTGGCATGGACATGGTCTGGGTGACCTGAGGAAGCTTTCAGGTTTGCTTGTGTCTATATAGCATTACCCATCCCTCTGATCCAGCTGATCACAGAGAATACTCCTGAAATGAATCATAGATGGGAGTGCTGGGTATTTGCTTCCCTGTTTTGGGAACAAGGCTGTAAAATTTCATCTCTGTACATTTGCATCTAAATCATCTTCTGTTAAACTCTGTGGCAAAGCCTATCACCAGAAATACAGCAAGGGTCCAAACATAGGGCAGAGAACAGAATGTACTGGGCTGTGGTCTGGTAAACAAGTGATTTCTTCTTTATTTTACCCCTACGCTATCTCTTTGTTGCACAGAGCAATAGCAGGAAGAAAGTTGAAGGGTATATGACATCAGTGTAGGGTGACACAAGCTGTACCTGAACACGTGACCAAGCATCAGCACATTTAGAGACAACGAGGGATCAGACTGGCATAGGAAGGATCTTCTGTTGATCCTACACTTACTGTTGTACTACCAAGCAAGCATAGATGCCACAAGTGGCCAAGTACCTTCCTTTGTTGGTCTCAATGCAGAGAGCAGTGGTTGATCTCAACAGTTCATGAACCTGAATAGAGACAAATGACTTTCTAGGTCTAGACTGAGGATTTGGTAAGGTCAGATTTATGGAAATGCTTTGATATGGTTTCTGAGAGATCCTTAGGCTGCGATCAGGTAGCTGGAGCAGGACTTCTGGGTTCTCTTCCAAGTCTGTTGTGTAGGTCTGGGCCCACAGAGGTATTGCTTAGGCCCTCCAGGTCTGATGCCCAGTGATGTCAGCCCATCTAAGAATGTGGACACATTGTTCCTGCAGGGCCATGAGTGCAGTGTAGCTTTCCTGAGGTTTTATATTTATAGTTATATTTGTATTTATAGTTATATATAGTTATATAATCAGTAGGAATCACCATGATCTCTATTTGCTCCTGTGGCATTTCTGGCAAGTTCTCCTTCTGTGACGTCAGAATTCTTTTTTGTTTTTAAATTAAGGGCTGTTGGATGTATGGTAACTAAATGGAATTTAAACTCTAAAAAGCTGACTTTTTGACAATAAGGCTTAGCTTCTTTTTACGAGATAGACAGAATTTTGGCTTTTACTGCCTTTCGTATGGGCTAGTGTGCTCAGGGTGTAAAGCAGCAATCATAGAATCACTTAGGTTGGAAAAGACCTCTGAGATTGTCAAATCCAACCATTAACTGCCAAGTCCACTAAACCATGTCCCTAAGTGCCACATCTGCACATCTTTTAAATCACTCCAGGGATAGTAACTCAACCAATCTCACCTGTACAGTCAGCTGCATATTGTATTATCTATAACACCTGTCCTGCCCTCACAGCTGCTGAATTGTTGTCAATGCAGTCTGGAAATAACAAATGTGTGAATATTCCTTTGGGGAAGGAAGGATGGAGCTTCCTAGAACAGCAAGGTAAAGCACATCCTTGGTGAATTAGCAGAAGTGTCTTATCACCCAAGCTCACTAAGGAGCTTAAAAGGATGCCAAGTATCTGTGTCAGCTGGGGTGGGCAAGAGGAGTACCCAGGCAGGGAACCTGCCTGTGATGTGGACTGTGACTTGTGAAGCTCAGCACAGCCAAGGCGAGTTTGCCCACTGCCCCAGTCCGCTACGAGTGACAGACGGGGAGGACATGGCACCTTGCTCACAGGGACTGTGCAGTTTCTAGACAGCACCAGCACTGTGGCCAGTTCTCTGCCCAACACTACCTCCCAGCCAGACACACTCCTCCTCCCTGCCCTCCACAATGTTCTCTGCTGTGTGCAAACATCCCATTTCACATTCCCCAGTTTTACTCCCTGAGGACAGGATGGAGAACTGCACAACTAAGTCTGACTCAGTCCCAGTAAAGCAGTTTGTTAAGTCTTTTGAGCCCGTTAGAGGTGGAGATGGATATGCCTGAGGAACAAAATAGAAAGCAGCTCCCTCTGTGGCCTCAGTATGCAGGGCTTGGGGAAAGACACACAACCCATATAGGCTGAACAGAGGCAAAAATCTTCTAATCTGAAAAGAAGAGAGGAAATCAGGCCCTTAACACTTCTTCCTAAACCTAGTGTCTCCTTCAGCTGCCAGCCAGCAGTGTGGTGTTTCACCTTCTCCCCACTCACTGGCACACTCCTCCTTAGCTTGATGAAGTGATATTATAACTCCATAACCCATGCCTTTGATTCGTGATTGTACCTTCGCTTTGCTGAGTTCTGAAAGGAATTGGAGAGATTATTAATGACATACAGTGATCACACAGCAAGTTAAAGCCTCTTGCTAAGTGAAACTTGTGGGAAAAGCATCCAGCTTTTCAGTATTTCGCAGAAACACTTTATGTCTCTTTTCATTTGCAGCCAGACAGTTGCAAATTACATAAAATTGCTCCTGAAGAAGAGGAAGAAGACTAAAAGGAGGAAGTGGAGGGGGGAGGTTTAGAAAAGTAATTCTTCTGGCAAGGTACAGTTACAGTTTTATTTCTGTGCAGAACAAAGAAGGGCTTGCTGAAAGGTAGGCAAGTAAGAGGCAGAAATTGGTATTAGTCCAAACTAGGAATACGGGCAGTTCAAAAGCAGTGATGGGAGTACTGAAATGTGGCTACATCATAGGGAGAACTCATGGGTGCAGAGACGCAGAAATGGAAAATTACAGAGAGCAGCAGCATGAGAGCAGAGAGAGACTATGGGAATGCACCAGGGGTTGACATGCTGCAGCACTAACTCAGATGGCTGGGCACAAGGATTAGTGCAGAGACCCAGCAGAGCTTGAGCAGAGGGCATCCCTGTGGGTAGGCTGTCTCCTGTGCTGCCAGGAGCAAGGGCTCACTTGAGCCATCTGTCAGGATCCAGAGCCCGTGATGATATAAAGGAGCACAGGTGACTGGAGGGGCTTTGGTAGAGAGGTCATAGCATCTCATTCTTCCCTTCCCTCTCATTTGTACAATTGCTGATGTGAAGGCAGCCTGGACCAGTATTTCTGAAAATTTCTTCGTGTGAACACTATGGGATATTTTGGCTGGCAAAGCTGGGGGATGTGCTGAGGAGTGGAGTAGGTGGCCTGAACGTTTGGCTGGGGGCTGAAGCTGGGCCCCAGTTGTTAATCTTTGCAGCTTGAACCTTTGGGCAGGTAGGGTGGAGAAGTTTTTCCCATGTCCATCCTGCAGGTTTGATAGACAATACTGGCAAATTCCTGAGAGCTGTGCAATGTTATCAGTAGAAGGTAATGATACAGAGAGCATGCTAAGGCTATCTCACTGAAGTGGCAGCACCAGAACATGAAGGTACTGAGCTAAAGCAGTCCCTGGACAAGAAGCAGCAGATGTGCCTGTTCACTGCAGGGAGGATTGCAAACACTTGTGCTGTTGAGGGTTTGGCTTAAGGGGCTGAGAATATCGTACGGCAAGGCAGCTGTCCGGTGAAGTGCCAACACCGAAGAGGCTGGGGAAGAGCAAGCTTCCAAAGCAGATTTGGACTCCTGTTGCCTATGGAATTGGAAGAATAATGAAATTAAAGATCAGCACCTGTTCCCGCATCTTGACCAAGTGCACACATGCAGGCTCCGTCCTGTGCACAAGGGGCCTTCCTTTCTCCAGAGAAATGACTGCCCTTTGTAGAACCAGGCCCTTGCATCTCCCTGGCAGCACAGAGCTTGGACTTTTGTCTCCCAGAGCTGATGTGTTCCCTGGTAAGCACGCTTACCTGTGCTTGTGAACACACATGCACCTATGCACCAACCCCCACAGACCTTTCATCTTTGCAAAGGCACCCACCCTTCTGAGCAAGGCTTCACATTCCCATCTCCTTGGTTGGGGTCATTTGATGTGTGTGCCTGCACATGAGTGTTTTTGAATATGGATATAAATAGGATCAAAGAGTAATTTATGGTGGAAGAGACCTCTGGGATCTCTGGTCAGACAAAGAAGGGCTAACTACGTTAGATCACTGAGGGCCTTCTCCAAATGAGTTTTGACTATCTTCAAGGGGATCCTGCAGGCCTGGGGCTTCTCTTCTGGTCTGTCAGCACCCCTAAAAGGAAACAGCTTATCTAGTATCAGCCGTAATTTCTGCTGTTCAGCCCAGAAATAGCTCAGGAGATTCATTCAGTGGCACTGGGGCTTGGGCCCATTTACTGTGGATTTTCACATGGCAGGTCTTTATTTCTGGAGATTTTGCACTGCTCAGACCGTTAATGTTAATGGTTGCCAAGGGAACTGGTGCAGCTGCTGTGTGCAGGCAGAGATTTCTGCTTGGCCACCTCTGCATCGCCATGGTACGTTAACAGAGATGCCTTTCCTGGCCACTGCCATTACCCTTCCATGGGGGAGAAGAAGTTGGGGCACAGCTGCACTGAGGAGCTGCTGATGCCCCCAGATGACAGGTCCAGAGCAACGGCAGCCTGTTAACCTGCCAGCACACCTGTAAGAGGCCTTTGCAGCCTCTGCAGACCCACTGTGTCACTAGCTCGGACACTTGCTGCCCTTGCTCTGCTCTTCCCCAGTTTGCTGGGGTCCATGGGGCTCCAGCTTGTGGACAGAGAAGCACCTGAGCGTGCTTGCTGGACCAATGAGCGCAGGGAAAGGTGAGTGTTGGGTGTCTTCTCCAACCAGCCTAGCAAAATGATCGAAGCCAGCTGAGGGTAGCAGTGCTCCCAGCTTTTCCCTCTGCAACTTTCTTGCACTTGCTCATAGTAACTTGGTGACCCATCTCACATACATCTTATCCCTGCTTTTTGTAGGCCTGCTAAGCACTTTCCACCTTGCTGGAAGTGACTCTTGTCACAAGGGCCTCCTTGGGCAAGTCTCTGTCTCTGCTGAAGTAAAATTCTGCAGCTGATGCAGGGCTGTGGGCTTGGCCACCCAGCCATGCCTGGATCCTCAGGCCCATGGCTTTTCAGAGCCCAGAGTGATCTCTTGTGGTCTTGATGAACTTACTGGAGCAGTTTTTTTGGGTTTTCAGTTCTGTCAGCCCTTTCTTGCAGCAGTGGGGAGGAGCAGGAGGAAGTTTGGAGCCAAATACTACTCTTCTCTGCCCTGCTATAAAGCCCCCTGGAAAACAGAAGAGTACTTGTCTGAATGTGGCCCAGGATTTTTCTTCCTCTTGCCTCTTGAGGAAACTTGCCTAGCACCTCTAGAAAAGGATTTGAGAAAGTTGGCACTTTCCTCTTCTCACCTAAAAAAGCTCTTTTGACTTTCAGTGACACTAATCACAAGAGAGAGATCAGGGCAACAGATCATGCAGTGTTCTCCTTAATGCAGTGCCCTGCTGTGCACTGAAACATCAAGCAAGGAGCCCCATGAGGACAGACTGACTGATCGTGGAGTCATGAGGGACTGCACTCAAGTGTGTCTGCCACACAGTTACATACGTGAGTTTAAAGATTTTTTCCCAGCCCAAATGATTCTTTGGTTCTACAATAGGAGCTGGAATTGCCAAGTTGGGTGGACCCCCCTGCTGGTTGTCTGGTGTTCTTGCACGGCAATGGTGCTGTCACTTCCCTAGAGATACCAGGGTGATCCAAAGGCTTTCTGAGTCATGGTGTTAAGCTGCTTGTCTTCCTCCCAGAGCAGAACTGGCTACAGTGGGGACAGGGGTGTCTGACTGCATTACAGGAAAAGGAACATGGTGCAGCGGAGAATCCAAGAAGCAAAGCAGTAGTCCATGTGTGTTGTGGCCCTCGTGCTGCTCAGATACCTGCTTATTGATTCCCGAGTTCACTCAGCTTCAGTGGGGAATGGGGGATAACTTCCCTGCTCTACCTGATTTGCCCACTGTGCTGGGGATAGGGAAAATGCCTCCCAAAGAAACTTATGAGAGGAGTTATGAGCTTATGAGTCCTCTTCTTGGTGGCGCAAAGCAGTTGGGTGAGGTCCTTCAACAATCTTCCTTGCTTGTGCAAAAAGTCACAGCCCTAGCCATGCAGGCAGGAGCTGTGTGGTTTGTACTCTGGGCTTCACATCTTGCTTCTGACACAGACTTTCGGCACAATCTTCATCACTACATGCTTTGATTCCTCCACCTGGAACACAATACTCATAGTTATCCTTGTTTCCTTCATAATGGGATTGAATGAGGTGAATTCATAAGCAGCCTTTAGAGCTATGCCAGAACAGTGTTTGGTAGTAATGTTGCGTGTTCCTGTGCGAGACAAGTCCTCTTTCTCAGAGAAAGGTGGTTTTCCTGGATAGGACTAAGGTACACTGAGATGTCAGTGGAAAGATGCAAGTAGGATACTCAAGCACTGAGACTGGCACCAATGCATTCCTGCTTGCATTCCTGCTTGCATTCCTGATCAGAAACAGAATCCAAATGAGCAAATTAGCATTTATATTTATGTGCTCTGCCCAGCTAGCTGTGGTTATGATCATTTAGGCAGGGCATTTTTAACTGGCCAGAAGAGGACCAGCCCACAATTTGCAAAGCGTAAGAGCCCAGGACCTAATTCTGCCAATGGCC